CAGCCGTGACATCAAAAGAGGGTTTGAAAAGGAATCAGGGGACGTAGCTTTCATCTACATGAGGACGATACAGGAGAGACAACAGAGAGCTGCCATCCGAACACACATGCGTCTACTGTTCTCACAGTCTCTGAAAACTACTCATAATCAACATCACAAAAGTCAAGATACTCCATTTGGTTTCGCCTCGGCTCCACAAGGTTTGGATGAATATATGTTCATATACGTCGGTTCGTCTTCAGAGAGGAAGGTATCTCTGATCCAGACGGACACACAACGTCATCAGCGAGACACTTCTTTTTTAGCTCCAACACCCGACTTCACACGCGCACACACACACACACACACACACACACACACACACAGATCACAGTCAAGTTCTATTCCGGTCATCCATGATAAGGCCATTAAATGCCACACACGCATTAATCTTGGGTTGACTTTACAAGTCTGCGATGCAATCTCCCTGTAATACTCGACGACAAATATCAACAGGGTTTTTCAGCGGGATGCAATTCATTTCTCTGTGATATTTCCTTTCAGCCGGTAATGAAACTGAAGGGAATGACAGTTGGAAGGAGAGGAAGGCACCTCTATTTTTGGAGACGTGAGGTGTCCCATGAGAGACGGCCGCCCTGGTCTTTCCTTCACAAGAGGCGTCAGTCAGAGTAAACATCGGGGTTTATGTTATCGGTCGATACATATCGAACATATTCAAGTGGCTGAGGTGTAACGACGGCTGAGACTCACTTTACATTTCCTTTTATGCTAAAAACGGAGTGACCTCCTCTGATTTACTGAACGCCAGCTGAGATCATAATGTTTCTAAATGTAAAGAAAATAATCCTTTCCAGCATCCGGGCCTTTCTGTTGCTGTGACAACAACGAAGCCAAACGGAGGCGACCTTGGACGCCCGGCAGCTTTGTGTCGATACAACGCTGTCTTCCTCTTGAAGGCTGTCAGCTTTACAAAGCGCCGGCTCTGACTCACCCGCACATCACTTTAGTGAACTCATCTGCCTTCTGTGGCCCGGCTGTTTTAATCCAGAATGTGATTATCAGGAAGAGCTAATCAGCTGGTAAGTGACTAATGCCACTCTGTGGGTAAAACAATACCTCCTCCTCTGTTTTTGTCCACCCAAAAAGTATACATCATTCCAAATCTGGACCTGGCACTAATGAGGTCTAATTGTTTAGCAAATATCCATTTATTCTGTTAACTGTTCAGTTTCGGTAAGTTGTTTTTTTCCCGACATGAAGGTCTGAATGCTGTTTAAATGCTTTCACAGTGCCGGGAGCCCAATTTGGGGTACTGAATAATTTACTTTTTAGTTCAAAGGTTTATAACAATTTAAAAGTTATGAGTCGAAAAATACTGAAATCAGCTTTAAAATATCCACCCAAACTTGTAAATTGCCGCTTGAACCACAGCATGGACTCAGCACACTCATATACTGTGGCACGAGACACCGCTTTCAGATCAGGTGATGCTCAAGCCTACAGTGCATCCAGGGCTGACCTGAAGAGGGGCATCAAGCAGGCCAAGCACTGCCACAAGCTAAGGATTGAGGAGCACTTCAAGAACGACTCCGACCCCCGTCGCATGTGGCAAGGCATCCAGGCCATAACAGACTACAAACCCACCAACACCACCCCCCAAAAAACAATGATGCCTCCTTCCCTGACGCGCTTAACAGCTTTTATGCACGCTTCGACAGGGACAACCAGGAGGCTGCCATCAAGGCTGTGCTCACTTCACACAACCAGCCCCTCGCACTCTCCTCTACTGACGTGTGTGCTGCACTGAGCAGGATTAATGCACGTAAAGCTGCTGGCCCTGATGGCGTCCGGGGACGCCATCAGGGCCTGTGCCGGGCAGCTAGCTGAGGTCCTGACTGAAATGTTCAACCTGTCACAAGCCCAAGCTACTGTCCCCACGTGCTTTAAAACCACCTCTATCGTGCCAGTGCCAAAGCACTCCACCGCAGTGAGCCTAAATGACTTCCGCCCAGTTGCACTCACTCCAACCATCATGAAGTGCTTCGAGAGGCTGGTCCTGGCTCACCTCAAAACCTGCTTACCACCCGCACTGGACCCCTTCCAATTCGCCTACCGCAAGAACAGGAGTACGGAGGATGCCATCTCCACGGCATTACACTGCGCCCTTTCTCACCTGGACAATAACAACAGCTATGTGAGGATGCTGTTCATAGACTTCAGTTCAGCTTTCAACGCTGTCATCCCCTCCAAACTAATCACGAAACTCAGTCACCTGGGTATCAACACTTCCCTCTGTAACTGGATACTGGACTTCCTATCCAACAGACCCCAGTCTGTTAGGGTAGAGAACCACACCTCCTCAACCCTCATGCTGAACACCGGCGTGCCACAGGGCTGTGTGCTAAGTCCTCTCCTCTACTCCCTCTTCACCTACGACTGCACACCTGTACACGGTTCTAATACCATTGTCAAGTTTGCAGATGACACAACGGTGATTGGCCTCATCGGTGACAACGATGAGTCGGCCTACAGAGAGGAGGTCCAGCACCTGGCGGTGTGGTGCGCCGACAACAACCTGGCTCTCAACACCAAGAAGACCAAAGAGCTAATTGTGGACTTCAGGAAGAAAGATGGCACACACATCCCCATCCATATCAACGGGATGGAGGTTGAGCGTGTCGCCAGCTTCAAGTTCCTGGGTGTCCACATATCTGAGGACCTCTCTTGGACCCTCAACACCTCATCCCTGGTAAAGAAAGCACACCAGCGTCTCTTCTTCCTGAGGAGAGTGAAGACGGCCCATCTGTCTCCTCAGATTCTAGAGAATTTTATAGAGAGCATCCTTACAAACTGCATCTCAGCTGCTCTGTTGCGGACCGTAAATCATTGCAGAGGGTGGTGAAAACTGCCCAACGCATCACCGGTTCCTCACTCCCCACCATTGAGGCTGTCCAGAGCAAGAGATGTCTGCGGAGGGCACGCAGCGCTCACCCCAGCCACAGACTGTTTGCCCTCCTCCCCTCTGGGAGGCGCTACAGGGTGCTCCGTTCCCGGACCAGCAGGTTCAGGAACAGCTTCATCCCTGCGGCTGTCATTCTACTGAACTCTGCCCCCCACCCACACACACATCTCCCTCAGTGACTGTACTTCCCCCCTCCACCCTGGCTTGACTGCCACACCCTCCTCCAGCCACTGAACATTTGCACCAGAATGTTTTTTTATTACTTTATTAATCGTACTTATACCTACAATACCTCTTACTGTTCATATTGCATAACTATTTCTTACTGTACATATCTATTTATTCACTTATTACACTTTACATATGCACATACTCTGCACTTTTTGCTATTTTGCACTTCTGGTTGGATGCTAACTGCATTTCGTTGCCTCAGTACTTGTACTCTGTGCAATGACAATAAAGTCGAATCGAATACTCAGCCAAGAGAGATGTGCTAAGCATTTTAAACACATGTGATTATTTATATTTCACGTGTAGGATGGCACATACATCTGACAGCAATGAAGACTGCTGTTATGAAAAAAAAAGGATAAATATCAGAGGCCTGGCAGCTGTTTCTTGTCAGCCAGTCATTGGTCACTCGCTGGTTACATTGGGAATATTGGTATTTGCTGTGTTTCTTTGCAGGAGGAAATGTGCAGCATTGTTTTCGCACCCCTTGTTAACGAGGACTTTCTGTACATCTGAAACTATATCGAGACGTTGAGGAGCCCCGTACATTGTGAAGTGGCTCTAAAGACATTTCCATCTATGTTGTTGGTGTGCATCGTCAAACTCAAAGAACTAGTTTTCTACTAAAACTTAACGTAAGCAACCAGGGCGATACTTCATTGGGAGAAATTATTCATAATATATAATGTCTATCATGTTGTTTGTCTGACCTTTTGATTATGATGATCGGGCAGCCTGATGAGCCTGACGTAGGTTTTTGGCCATAACCTTCAACACTAAACTTAAACCCTATGTACAAGATTGTGTTCACAGATTGGATTTAACATCTTTAACATTTCAAACTTTTATCTTTTTTTTTAAATTAATTTGCCTTCTTAAACTCTCACTCAAGCGTACACATACTTTATATTTGAACATTAAGTCATGTATAACCTTTAAGAGATGTAAAATGTTTGTCTCTAATGTAAAGAACTTTACTTTATATCAGTAGTGGTCAGAATTTTTCATGGTTTGAAATTTCTTGAAATTCAATTTCAAAAAAGGCCACGCTCTGTTTGGTCATTAAATATGTACGGTGAATGGCGCTTTTGTGTTAAAGTACCAGAATTTTCCAGTAAAATTCAAAAATGTACCATAAATATGCATAGAAATGAAGGAGTAAATGGTCTTGTGAGACAAATGGCAACGAAAAAATGTGCTAAAATGCATTACGGTTCAGGCGTACGCAGTGTGTTCACATCACAGATGAGTCATACACGCACACACAAGTGGTTTGGCACAAGATAAAACCAAACACTTTCACCCTGAAAAAGCTGTCAGACAGGCGCCCGAGGGTGCTGCATTATTCACTCTCCACATCACCCAAAGTCTGCTGACAGAGCTTGCAGCACACTTCTCGTGTTGAGTGGGACATCTTGTGGTGGAAATTAGAATTTCAGATAAACCCTGAAGTGAAAATTAACCGCAAAGTAAAATATTCCAGATATTATTTCCAACATAGTATTAAAGGGGCATGACTATTTAAATGTGCAGCATTCAACGATGGGAATAAATGTGGGTGTCCTCTGTTGGGAAGGGTTGGGGGAATGTTGGGAAATGTAGTTTCAGGGTTTTTTAGGCGTTACCATTTCGTAAACATCTAAGGGAGAACACGAATGTCAAACTGGTGGAGAAAACCTCAAACACTAGATATGTGAGAAGGTGATTACACTTTCCTCCAGTTATTTAGATCGCCCCAAATCAAAAGGAACTACGGGGAAAGTCCGTAAAAACGGACTTTACATCCCAGAATGCTTTGCGGGCCGCTAGTGCCCGCTGGCAGTTGTAGTCCACGCATCCGGATCGTTTCCGTGTGTGTATGTACCTTACGTCTGGTGTGAGGTGGAATCTGCTCTGGAAAGACAAACACATGTGAAATTATTGATCAGGTAGGGCAAACGTCTCGATCCGCCGGCTCCCCGCCGATCGAACCCGCCGATCAGAATAGAATGTCAGCTTAGAATTTACGTCGAGTCCGTATTTAGCCCGTTGATCGAGGAGCTACAAACCAGGGTGAGAAACGGCGCCTACATGGCGATGCATTTCCTTTTGTTCCGCTGGCCGCTGGGTGCAGAGATGCCCGTGTGAAATTCTCAGGAATGTTCCTTTTATTTAAAAAAAACCAACATAAACATTTGTCGGTGAAGCGATCGGGCGAGCGTCGGCCTCCGGGCTGCGACCCGAAACTGGACTCCATGCGCGGGCACCGCGATCCCGACGACACGTCGACATCCGCTCGGCCGACGGCGGCGAAGTTACACGTTAAAACACCGCCACGGTTCCCCGTGTAAATGTCTAACGCGGAACGCTCGGTGCGGCGTTAGCATCGAGCCGCGTTAGCTCGCGGCGAATGGGCTTGTTTACATCCGGTAACGCGGTGGCGGCTGAGTGAGCTGCCGGGCAGAAGACGTGCTGGATGACCGTAAAACGACTGTGACGCTGTTTGAATGGATTTGTGTCGGAGGTTGGGTGGGGACACGCTTGTCTAACGGAGCTGTCTTGTGTCTTGCAGGTTTGAGTGAATTTATGGAAACATGTCAAAGAAACGGGGCAGGTAGGATCACACTGAATGTTTTGACCCAGATGTGTTTGATGGAGGAGTGCTGGTTATGCACCTAGAACAACACGTGTCTGGTCTGTGACTCACCTTGAAAAATTAACTTCACATGCACTTTAATCCCAGTGCGTCTACCCTATAAACTACAATCTCAGACTAGTATAATTTTAACTTGATCAAAGGTGCTTTGTGCTTGCTTATTCCAGCTCTTGAACACCACATTACATGCAGATTGAGTGCAATCAATAGGTTTTTCAGCTGTGTGGAATCTAAACGGCTACAAATATTTATAAGTTACCCCATCGTGCTCATGTTAGTGATGGCATGTGTTAAAACACCAATGCATCAGTGGGAAGACGACTGGACTTAAATATGAAAGCATACGACACCCTGGATGTTTGGAAAAAGGTATTTTTTATGTCTGCCACGGTTGAAGCTAACGCGCACTTCCTCCGCGTGCATAGGAAGCGCAGCAGCGGAGAGCTGAGTGAGAGCTCGGCGTCGAGCCTGAGCCCGGACCCCGACAACCTGCTGGGCCGACGGATCCAGCACACCTGGAGGGAGAAGGGTAATGTGACCAAGTGGAAAGGCACCGTTCTGGAGCGCCTGACTATGAACAGCTCCCTCTACATGGTCAAATACGATGGCTTTGACTGTGTCTACGGCATTGAGCTCTTCAAAGACAACCGGGTGTCCAACCTGCAGTTGCTGACGGAGAAAGTCGGTGAGTCAGTGACGTGTTGTTATTGTGGCTTACTAAATCATCAAGCTCCTCACTTATATAGGTGAGCAGTCAAATAATTAAGAAAGTGATGAGTTACAACACATTTGGCAATTCAAAACACTACTTGCAGCATTGTAACATAGTATTTATTAATTTAAAGGCCTATTCAGTCTTCCAGATAACAGGCATTGAGACGTGTGTTCTTCCTGCAGTAAACAATAAGATCAAGGTGCCTCCCGGGGCGGAGGAGCTGGTGGGCCGGGCTGTGGAGCATCTGTTCGAGAAGGAGGGCGGGGAGAAGAACGAGTGGCGAGGCATGGTGCTGTCCCGAGCCCCCATCATGACCCACTGGTACTACATCACTTACGAGAAGGACCCGGTGCTGTATATGTACCAGCTGTGGGACGACTATAAGGATGGAGATCTACGTGTCCTGCCTGAATCGGGTAAAGTGAAAAGAGATTAGTGTTGGTGGTGGTACGCAGCCATCACTGAATGTTTCATATTTCTCTTGGAGAGGTGGGAGGAAGCGGGCGGGACACATTTACATAGTCGGCATTACAAAACGTCTTTCCTATGTTTAAAAAAGCCCCGTTATGACACTAGTACCACATCACAATAGAAACAATGCCACAAATTATAACAGGCAATAAGAAGTGAATAAACAAACTGAGACAAGCATGTTTGTTAGAGGACCTAGTTCGGTTTTAAACTGCTGATACTTAAAATCCAGCTTAAAATCTTGATGTTATCTTTTAAACATTTTTATTAGGGTGCGTTTTTATTTACACACTTCGCTAATTCAGTGTGAAGGACTCGCTGAGGACTTGACGGTGGAGGAAAAGGCCACACCATGTGTGTATATACGTGAACAAACATCTAATGAATATCTATTTCATACACTGTGAGAGTCTTCAGCTTTCTGAATCAAGCCCATCATATCGTTTTTAAAGCTCCATCATGAAATGCTTTAAAGTTATTCACAAAGATGCATTGATAAAGCATTTGTAAGAAAAACAATAACAAAGAAGAATTTTCTTTGCTCCTGTTACGTTGTTCTTATTCCGAATTTCGTTGACTCACCTGACTGTCCATCTGTCTGTCACCCCAGAGAACAAACACCTGCTGCCAGCAGACAGGAAGCCAGGTGAAGAGCCAGAGAGCCTTGTGGGTAAACAGGTGGAGTACGTCACAGATAACGGTCTAAAGAGGACTGGCTTGGTCATCTACCAGGTCCCAGCTAAGCCCACCGTATATTACATCAAATATGACGATGACGTTCACATCCACGTCTATGACCTGGTGAAGACCACCTAGTGCTGACTGTCCCGAATCACCCGCGGCCGACATCTCACCTGTGACCCGACCAGTCGTTACCTGTGAAAGTGTTACGGATTTCAGTGTTCTCCCAGCGGGAGCCACGTGCCGAAGATCAGATGCCTCGTCTTTTATTCCATTCTCACATCACCAGACATTTCGTTTTTTTTATTGCGGCGTTCGAGGCACAATGAGTATGATGTGTTGGTTGCGGTTTGTACACAACACTTTAAAAAAAACAAAAAAACGGCCCCTCCTTCCCGGCTCGGGGGTGACGGTGCTTGCCAGCGGGCGGAACAAACCCACTCTTGCCGCGCCTTTGTACGCAGGGTATTTGCATCGCTGTTTTTCAGCGCTGCGTCTGCCACTTCTCGTAGCTTCCTCTGGGTTGCGTTCTTACAATCTGTTATCTGGTCGCTGTGTTCTTGTCGAGGTCGATGCCCAGAAAGGTCACAAACGTAGCGAAATGAAATGCGGGGCCATGTGGGGGCCGCAGACACACACACACTCCTAATGAGTCATGGGGTTTGTTTTTGCTTGAGTCCATACGTCATGTTTTACGAATATCCTACTCATTGTGCCTTTTTTAAGTTGGTCTTAATGTATGACTTCGGTCGTCTTCAGTGTAAATAAAGCAGGTCTGAGACCGATTCTATAGCCCAGGAGATGAAATGGAACTAGGCTTTTCCTTTGGTTAGAGCAAACTTGTATAGTGCAACTTTCAAACTACCAAATCATACTTTTTGTAAGCAACACATCAAACTAAGAAGAATTCTGCTTCCATTGCTTTTTTTTTTTTTTTTAGCTCTGTGTTTTACTTGTAGTCCAATTTACTTTTGTTTTGTGCTATTTATTTCCCCTGGAACATCTGGCTGTGCTGCTGGTGACGTTTTTGGCGAAACTTGCCTGCTTTGTGTCACCTGGCGGGCCTCAGTTTGTTGAATATCAAAGTAATATTCATTTTACCGGTGTGCTTATTTCACCCCCACAGTGGACTACCATGTCTGTGTTTAGGCGTCGATGCGACATGAATGTCTAACATCATGGATATCAAACACAGATAATAATGAAAAGTAATTTCATCTTCATCATGTAAATTGCAAGTTTTCTACATTATGATAATATATTAAAAATGTTGATGTTGAGTTGTTTGTGCTACACAATATTTATGTAGTTATTATTGGCGCCAAACATTGTTTCGAGTCTGAAGTCATTATTTGCCAAAACAATTATGTGATACAAAATATTGGAGCCTCAAAATATTGTTAATTGTGAAACTGATTGTTTTGTTCTGTATAATTGGCGACATTTTATGAAACAAACAAAGCTGCTTGAAAAATGTTTTTCTGTTGATCTTTTCTTTCACTTGCGTCAGTTAGTTTCATCATGGTTGGAAATACAAGACATTAATTCAGTCAAATGGCTAGCACATTGATCAGGTTAGAATAATTATTTAATGACATTATTTAGCGACACATAAATAAAGCTCATCAAAGCCTCTCATCATATGACCTGCGATTCAATCTACGTGTTGGCGATGAAGTGGCACCATTGAATATTCAGAATGTATGCTTATTTGAATTAAATGTACCTATCTGCGTGTTGACCTTGACTGAATGTGAAGCTCCCCATTTTTTTATAATTACTGTCTAACGCATTACACCACAAAAGATCTCGCATCACATTTTGATTTGACATTTAGCAACTTAAGCGGTAACTTTACGCCAATTAATTTCTATAGCTCAGTCAGACTTTTGCATTAATTAATGTAAAAGCAAACGTACAGTTCAGTTGCATTTGGAAGACACAGTCAAGTTCCAGTTTGCAGCGCATGTGTACTACAAAATGTATATATATTTTTATATATAATTAAACACTTTAATTTTAACAGTGACTTCAATGTTCGCCAGTGTCACAAAAGCTTTTGCGTGTTCTAAAGATAATACTGGTTTAAAACATGTGATTGCACATAAAATAAGTGTGACAAAAACCAAAGGATCTGAGTTTATAGGTTAATTAACTAAATATAGTTTGGACTTAAAATCATCTCTCTGCTTCACTTTTTTGTGCAACTTGTTTTAATTACACTCCTATTAGCTTCTTTAATTAAATGCCAAGAAAATCAGGGGGATATTAACTTACACAGTTGATTATTTATAGTTAGAATCAAGGAAACATCTGTTTAATCATGTAGCAGTATATACACTAAGCTAAATACATGAGCCTTATTAAGCGTGCTATTACTGAGAAGATGCGGCGCACACTGACTAAGGCCGCTATAGTTTGAAGTGAACAGCTTTTCTGTGAAAGCAGCAGCTCTGTGTCCTATGTGTTCATTTGTTTTATCAACAAAAAATGCATTAAAAACGACCCCGTTTGGATATTCAACGGCCGGCGCTGCCGCGTCGGAGGAGCTGATGTATCATGGAAGGGTCGACGAGTCAAACGCCAGTGCGGCTGTGATGACGAGCAGACGGGCTCCCCCCCCCCCCCCGCCTCACCGGACCGCACGTGGCGCCACATGCCGACTACGGACCGCCCCCCCGGGGTGCCGGGGTGCTGCTGCCAGGTGCCGGTACAGACAGCGGGGGAACAGTTGGCGTACCGTCACGCCAGGCTCGGTGCCCGGTAGTAATGACAACCGGGAAGGGAGGGAGGGAGGACGTGCGTTACACGAGGTCTGTGCTCTTGAGAACGTGTCTGTGCATTTGTCACCTGTTGTGCATTCCCTCCGACACATCCGTTACTATTTTATAGCATTTTCTTTCTTCGGGACACCACCGGCCTGGACTTATGGCAACCGGCTCCATTGTTCAGGCACGTCTGTGGATGTGAAACCATCTCTTTTCACGAGGCCATAGTAGCTTTGATCAACGGGATAAATAATATACACACGTATGTCCCTGGTTATGGCTGTGATGAATCTGTTATTTGAGGCCCAAAAGTCTGGACAGCGAGGTTACTGAGTGTGTTTCTTGTCCTTTTATCTCTTCATTGCTAGAACAATCTGGTATGGTCAGAAGTACTGCTGACCATCTCAGTGGTTTTTAAAATGATGCAGCTTCTTTAAAGAATTAAGTTCTGTGCTGCTTGAACCAACACTATATCAACCACCTAAAATCTCTTTACCAAACAGACTGAGCGCCATTAGCTCTGTGAAGGACGTAAGACCGAAACATTTACAGAATGAAGGCACCGTATTCACCTCTATAAATATATATATATATTTATTCAGAATGATATAAATATATATATATATATATATATATATATATATATATATATATATGTATATCTCGTATGAAAAATAAATGTATGAAAGGTTGTTTTTTCCTGCTACATTATTACAGGACCTTCCGCAAAAACCTTGAAACTTTGTATCTGTTCCTTTTGGCCGATAAGCAAATGCACTTGACTCTTTTGTGTTGCTTAGCAACGCAGGCCAGTCCCGAGTTTTTATATATGAAAAACCAGCATGCCGCCAATCTGGAGACCTACAGGGTGCAGTGTGAAGGAGACCAGCCACGACGCATATTTCATTTCACCATGCAACCTTTCCTGAATGAAAAAGGCTGTAATCTGTTATTAACAGGAGATAATGACGTGATTGGTTTGTACACAAGCGGAGATGAAGGTGATTTGTTGTTTAAAATGTACCTGACGGGTTTCATGTCAGCTTTGCGTTTCAACGATAGTAAAGCAGACAGTATTTACCCTGCGTCCGTCAGGTGACCTTTCATGTAAATAAAGGGCCTTTTTCCATTTTCTATTGCTGGACTTTCCAGTCGTTGTGTGTCATTCGTCACACAAATGGGGATCCTGTCGAGTCACTCATGCAGGTATCCTGGGCGGGAGGATGGGGGGGGGACAGTATATGTGGTGAAGAAAATTAAGTCCATTTATTTTTCATCAAATCTAGATTCACATTTTCTATTTCACAATTACTATGTTGTATATATGTTCAGGCATAACTGAAAGAATTTTGCATGAGGCAGAAGCATCGTGATGTTAATTCCTGTAATTCAATTTCAGTCTGTTCATATTTTTTGGGCCTGATATAAATTTGCTCCTATGTGTGAATACGGCATCAGAGCAGAGTGGTGTGAGCATGGCTCTTAGACTTCTTAGTGAGCAGTGAGTGTAGATGTCTTCATATTTGCTCGGGTCTGTTTACTGATATTAATCAAGGCTCGGAAAAAGGCCGAGCTCTGCATCCACCTTGTGAGCAGACCAGAAACTCTAAATGTGTCATAAAAAGAAAGGAATGTACAACAAGGGGCTGGCGCTGTGCATACGAGACTCACTCCTAATGGGTCCTTAGCACTGCCATGTTTCACGCTAAATGCTTCCCTCAGAGCAACGTGATAATCCCCGAGCGGGAAGTCAGGTCAGCCTCCCAACGCGCCTTTTAATAATGAGGATGTTTCTCTCTGTGATATCTTCAGCACTGCTGCCAGAAGCACTTTATTCACCTGGTCACTCAAACCTCATGTGAAAGAAACTGCCTCACTATGGTAAGGAAGTGCTGTGCACCGTCCATTACGGAGACCCGCTGAGGTCCACTGAGGGGTTTAGACCACTCGTACTGGTTGACATGTAGTTCTTCCTCTAAGTGCTCAAAGTGTTGGACATAGTAGAGCGTTAAGTAAAGCTTTCTGGAGCAGACCATCTCGTCCAACAGGAGAAATACATTTGAGTGAAGAATGGGGAGCAGTTAGTAAGACACAACATCGGGAGAGACAGCTGTTTTTTTCTTCTTCTTCTTCTTTGGGATTTTCTGAGCGTGTGTGACTTATGTGGTGTTCTCATAATGCTGTGATGTTCATGCTGATGTGAGGAAATTCAGAAATGCACATGACAGTTTTACATCCAGGTTTTATTTAAAAGGCTAAGTCAAATGCAGAATAATTAATAAACAATTACATTATTCTAAGCTGCTGTATGTGATTATTGTGGTTTCTGAGAGTTACGGTTTTGGAGCTGTTTTCATTGTTTGTGAGTGTCTCTGCTTATATGATACGTTTCCAATTTTACAACTGAATTGTATTGCTAAAAAAAAAAAACAGGCATGTTGTTGAAGCTGATCAAACGTAAAACTCGTTCATGCCAACATTGAAATGTGAACACATTCTGGATTGAAGAGCCTCGCAGGTTCGAGCTGACGTGGACTGAAGAGCACTGCTTGTGCTGAGAGGTAGACTGGGACTTGTTGTTCTTTGATCAGCTTCACAACAAAATCACTAGTCTTCCACTCAGCACCACCAACAATTATCTAAAGCATCCTCTCCTTTTTGTTTTGAGGTCCAAATCCCCCCGCTTCAATCTGTATTAAAAGAAAAACAGCTGTAACACAACATGGCATTAAAAAAGCAGAGTTGGTATACTTCCTCCGCGGTTAAAACATGATATATTGATTATACATTGTCCCCTGGAGTCCCAGGGCATGTTCAGGATATGCATGTGTCACAGGTGTTGCTGAGAACACAGCGGCTAGAAGTGCGTTGACAGGTGGTGAACTTCAAATGCCGGAGATGGAAACACGACATGCAATTCCCATTTCTGTGTTTTCCTGAACCCGTTTCTCTCTGAAGCCTGTTGACATTCCATCCCTCCTTTGTTGTCATAATGCCAACCTTTCAGCTCCTCTCAAAAGAGGGAGACGAGAGGAGGAGGGGGAGGAGGAGGGGAGGAACAGAGAGAATCACAGCACAGCACTTAGAATAAACGTTGTTCACCATATGCAGCGAACACAAACCCCAAGCTGTGCACAGTTTGCAATTACTCCCCATTTAGAATGAAAAAAATGGAAATGTGAACGCCAGCCGTCAACTCGGTGAGACGTGTTTGCTTTCCAATAAGTCTTGTTTGGACTGAAAGAGAAAGAGGGAGCGAACGGAGACAGACAGATTGTCCTGCATCTCCAGTATGTTTCTGAGCTGGTAGCTATGCAACAAGACTGGGAGTCAGTGGAAGAGGGGGATGGGAAGATGGGGACAGTTCAGTGAGAGGTGGGAAGGAAGGAAGGAAACAAGGAAGGAGGGAAGTGGGGGGCTGGGGGGTGGCTGTTAGTACAAACTAGAAGAAAGAGGATTGCTGAGAGCTTAGACCAAGCTAAAAGGATATAATCAATACTATTTACGAGAGTCGTTTTAACATAGTGTTTAATAAATCACTCTTTTGCCGTCGCTCTTGCAGGCATCTGCCTCTCGAAAATCGTCCATTTAGTTCCAAGCAGCGGGGACATCTACATGCTGACCATTAGATTGTGTAAATATTCACAGGACATCGTCCGCCCGGTTTAAAACGTGCACTATACAAAAGCGACCAATGAACAACAGGTATTCCGTCCCGATCGCAGCTCAACAGAAACGATCCCTCGACGTGGGAGCTGTCCGGTGTCTCGGTGCTGAATGACGCCCTACTTCCTCCCGCACGTCCGGCTCTGCTCCTCAGCCTCTCGCCTCGACTCCGGCCCGGAAAAAAAGAAGGAGAAGAAGAAGAAGAAAACATGCCACCTGTTGCTGCACCGAAGTTTTGTCTCAGGAGGCAAAAGACCCCCGATACGCGACACCACTGAATGTGCAGCGACCCCGTTCCTCATCTAAGGTCACATATAACGTTTTCTCTCTCGCCCGCTCTCTCAAATTACGGCGACATGACGGCATGATAAGCATCCCCCCTCCTCCCCCTCCTCCCAGGCGAGGCAGGAAGAGAAGGAAAGGATTGTCATTTCATTTCCACTAGATACCCTCAGGATTTAAACAGCTATTCGTGCTTTCCTTTTTTTTTCTTTCACTCTCCCTTTTTTTCTTTTTTTTTTCCTTCAACATATTTCAGTTTTTCAAACCTGAAGTGCAATAAAAAAAAAAGAGAGAAGGGTTGTGGAGCAAGACACACACACACACACACACACACACACACACGAACACACATGAACACATGAACATCCTGACGTTGCATCGCTTGATAAAAGCAGCGGGACAACGGCGGTGTGCGTGTGGCGACTCACCGGGCATCGATGAACACAACAGGTGACGCCGACACAACGCACCGGCGGCCGGGCTGCATGAGCGGGCATCGGAGGAGGGTGGTGGAGGCGGGGGAGGTGGTGGGGGGGGGGGGGGGGGCGGTTCTGTTGCAATCAGCCTCCCATCCGGGCTTCCACGTACTGGTTGTCGAGATGTTACTGGGTAGGCTGGAGGAAGATGGATCAGCGTGTTTATATACACGTCGGCAGCCCGGAGGAGGAAGGGGGGAGGAGGCGGGACGAGGCGGCGTGACGACCGCGCAGGGAAGCCAATTGACGAGGATTTCTTTTCTCTCCAGCCCGTGTTAAGGGTGCGGCCCAAAGCAGCCGGAAAATTCTATTATACGAAGATTAAATGAATACAACGCGTGCTGTCGATGCAACAACCCCTTGTATTGATGGTGAAATTTATTCCGTTTTCTAACTTTATGTCAGCGCGTAAATTTTCCCTCGCCGAGGAAACATCTCGCGCACACATGCAGAGAAATATAAATTAAATTGAAACGGGTCCCAAGTGTGCAAAATACAGAGCACGAAGGGGTGAGCTCAGATGTGATTGAATTAAACCTGAATTTCGCGGATCAAGAATATGCATCAAATTAATTGGTAAGGGAACAAACAAGAGTGACGTATTACTTACAGTACCTTAAGGGCAATGGGAATTGTAATTGGTAAAATTAATTGCTTTGGAAAAACGTCTGGGCTAAATACAATTTAATGAATGCAATTTAACGTGCGGTTACATTCACACATCGAGTTGTACACGTTTAGTTTGAGCCCAGTGATCTGCCTTCAATGCATTGTTTGTTGTTTGCTTTCAGCTTTTATAAAACACACACACGCAGTAACAGCACTGAGACACAAGACAAGTGGCGAAAACTTTAAACGACCATATAGTCCACAACAAAGCCCTCATGATATCTGGTGAAACAAGCCATCCATAGGATCCACATCCAAACAATACACCTAAGCTGGTTTTGATCTAATGTGTCTTATTATTTTAGACTGTTGTTAGCGTAGGTTGGTATTGTGAGTGATTAAATGGGCATTCTTGTACTTATACTAATTTTTCGGTTCAATTATTAGATTTGTATCTACTGCACTGACTGAGCAGCCTTTTCACAGGCAGCAGAGGTGTCTGAGATCCGTCTGGGCTTCAGCGCTCTTTGCTCTTCTGAATCAGAGGAAAACAATGACCTGCGTGTTTTACAAAGAATTGCTGATTACATTTAAACTGCTTTGGCGTATGCAAGGATCGTATTATCTCCTGATGAGTAAGACGTCACACGTATAGTAATTGTCAACAAGGCATGGTTTATTAAGACGCTTTCTCAGCATTTAGACACTTAGATGACACCTGTCTTATGAATGACACATCTTTCCTTTCGAGAAAAGAAAAAGCCGTTACCATGGAGCCATTGACTTGGAAAAGAATACAAAAGAAACCTGCTATTAGTTCCATGTGAGTCTTAAGATTAGGTGTTTGCCAAGTCGACATTTTAGAGCTCCATCAACTGTTAAGGCTTAAATTCTCTTTACAACCAACGTCATGTGTTTGGAAATGATGCTATCTTAATTTTATAAAATGCAGAGAAAAGAAAGCCACCATTCCTACTTGCACAGAAACAGGACCCATTCATTATATCTCAGTAATGTTCTTATGTATGTTTATGTCCTCAGCAACACTAACCTGATCTGCTTTACACAACGTAGGGAGAACGTCTGGGGATCGGAGGGAGTGCCTTGTGGAATTTGGTTTCATTTGGACACATTCAATGTTAATAAACTTTGAATAAACCAGGGAACAGCGGTGAATTTTCAGGGCGTTGCACTCCACAGCATGTGGTCAGGGGCGGGCAGATGCTCATTGACTGCAGTTCACTTTGGCCGCTAGATGCAAGAGAACTTCACCGGCAAACTTCTCTCAAGTGGGGGCTTGTTTTAATTCCGGGCACCGGCCCGTTTCCTACATTGCCTAACAGTTGAGTCTGGACCTGCAGATCCCCGGCTATTGTTCTATTAAATGACTTGAATCCCTCTTATATATTCATGGGCACTGCATTAGTATTACTCAATTAATTGAGTAGTCAGTTTGCCCAAGCTGATGGGTGCAGAGGGGCTGTTGGGACGAAGGACTATGGTGTCTGTTAATGAATAAGGCGCACGAGTAAACATCACTGTGCGCTGAATAAATGACAAAAAAAAAGGCCTGGGTGTCTGCAGCCGTTAGTTTCACAAAGGCCTTGTTCCTTTGATACCTCACTAGGCAGATTTATCAATACAGCTCAAGAGTCTGGCTTATGGAGGAACCCGGGGGAAGATCCTGCTCTTTGTGTTGTGAGGCTTTAGTTCCGAACATCACACCCCGTGCCTCTTGATAGAAACATCAGGCGGCAGGATTATGCATATTATCAATCCCCCTCTGTCCTATCCTGTGCTTTCAGGGCTTAATGTTAACATCTGCCCACCGAGAGCCACAGATGAGCTGGAAGACCGTGTTGAATGTCTTCCATTCAGATGATTTATCTGAACACTATAATGGACTATGCATGTTATTTAGATGACATTATAATGGCGTCCGGAAAGGGAGTGAAGCTCAGGCTCTGTGACGTTGCGAGGAGCTGAGTCACAGAGAGCTGCATCTTCATCACACTGAAAAATACTGTATAATGGAGACCTTTTGTTTTTTTCAGTCCATCTTATTAATAGCCAGCCAGTGTTTCATATAAGGTCAGATACCTGCAAATTACAGCAAAACCATTAGAGCAGAGGCATTTAAGACGTATTTTTCTTCACACATTTAGACCCTTTAGCTGTTAGACTGATCTACTAATCTAGTAAAACAAATTGTGGAACTGACAATACAGATTAATTAACATAATGATCAAGTCAATGTGCCACATTTAGCCAAACAGACTAGTTTTCACCTGTAGTCCCTGGCCGTTGGATACCATTGAACATACAATACCTCATTAAATTGTGGATTAAATCAACAAGCAGTTTAGTTAAGACAACAAGCAGAGGTGAAGGAGTTTTGGGTGACTGTTCATATGAACATTTGCAGGGAACAGGGTGATGTCACAGGATGCTTTTGTTGCCGTTAAAATAAAAAAACAAAAGGAAGATGCCCAACTGAAGAGGCAATGAAACCAGATTGCAATGGGATGTTTAACTTTCTGCATGGCGTGTTGTAAAGACACTCCTGTAGTGTTAAACCCGCTTCCCACCCTCAAGGTGACATGGTTACTGTTGATAGTAAAGGGTGTGGCAGCAGCAGTCTGCTCGTTGCATGGCTCCCTCTGGTGTTAAAAAACCCAGATTATTCTGCACAACGTGTAAAACAAGTGAGTTATTACGCTACGGCTTCCACAAACACTGCAACTCCACGACTACAATGTGTGATGTTATTTACCCGGTCTAAAAAAAGGAAGGGCATAATTCAGATTGGTGACAAATAGATTATTCGACTATTTTCTTCTCATTATATTACCAGTAATGCTTTTTCAATGGTTCATTGATAACCATAATGCTTTTTTCCCCCCAGAAAAGCGCATTACTAAAAGATCTGTGGATATTTTTTTATTCGTCAATCAATATGTGCCATGAACAGTAATTGATGTGCATTTGTTGAGAAGACAAATGCAGATGTGGTTCTAGAATATCTACAGTATACAGAATTTGGAGAAGCTAGTCTCCTTGTTCATGGTAATAAAATAACTCGTCATGCAGTGCAGCACTGTGGATGTGGGTCTTTCATAAGGCTTTATAGTTTGGTTACGCACCAAATACTTGTTTTTCCAATCGATTCATTAATCTTTCATGGGCGCGGTACAATCATACAATATCCCATTTTACTGCACAGCGCAGAACGATTTCACTTCCAAGTTATTATTAAAACAGCGACGACAAATGGTAAAAGATATGATCGTTTATTGTTGATTATCTGTGAGTAAAGAAATATTTCTTTTTTTTTAACATTCTTTCTGCAATTCGAGTTTGCAGCATTGTCTTGATTTTGAAGTGGCTTTCAAATAAATTTCCACATCGTCTGGCAGTGAAACTGCCCATAAACTTCCCCCAGATATTAGTAACAACCATGCCATTTCTGTACAATAACCTTTTTTCACAATACAAATAAATAGCATTCGTTTAAATGTGGCACGATAGTTGACTCAAATAGGGAAAAGGTGAAAATTGGGTGGAAACACTGCAGATATGAAAACATTTTTAGACAGACTAAATATTTTCATTTTAACTTACCAACTTTAACCGTTGCCAGATTTTCCATCCACTAATGCTCTTATGTGTGTTCTTACCAAATAATGATTTCCTCCATTTGAATTTAAAACAACGAGCTTGTTCAATAATGAAATCATTAACTTGATGTAGAGAAAAAGATACCGGACCAATTTGTCAAAACCTAGTTAAGCATTTACAGTTGAAGTCGAAGCGGCACAGGATGACGTATTCGTTTAACAGTGTCCATGAAACATTATCGTCACCCGGTAAAATACAAAACGAGAGCCTGGAATTGTTCTGCGAACATACTCCACAGATCAGACCAAAGAAACTGCAGTTTGCACAAAATAAAACCCACCGGCCTCCAGAACAAACAACTAGTAGGGATACATTTTAAAAATGTTTTTAAAATAGAGGAAAAAAAGGTTAAAATAAATAAGACAGAACGAAAGGATGAACTCAATATTTGGCAGGAAAGCACAATGTCAGTCTGTAAACAAAACATAATGACATGGGGAGAGAAACGCCGCCGCCCCCCACATTCGCCTCATCATCACAGATCCCTGGTCTGTTGGGTGAGTCAGTGGCTCTATTATTAAGGAGGAAGTGGAATACTGTACATGCACATCTCCTCTGCCCTCGACACTCGGTCATCTCTCCAGCTCCCTCCCACCTCCAGCTACAACGTGGCTAAATCACTAAGAGCGCTCGAGGGGCCCCTCTGCAGACTGCTGAGGTAAACACTCAAAAGAGCGAGTTTGATACATGCAAAGTTAAACCCCCTTTCCCGGCATCATGCCCTCGTAGTAAGAGCGGGGTGCCAACTACCGGATCCTGGTGAAGAGGTTAAGCACTGACACGGATTCCTAGAGGAGGGAGAAAGGCAGAGGAAGGAGGTGGTAAGGCAAAGACCACAGGGAATAAAACATTACAGACGGATGAAGGCGGAAAGACGTCGTCGACGTGGGACGGAGAGGCGGAATACCTTAGTGGATCTCATCTTGCTAAAGACGTTCCAAAACCGAAGTGTTTCATCTCCTGCTCCCGTCACAATGGCCTCTCCGTCAGGGGACATGGCCTGCAAATAAACGCTTTTATTATACACTCAATATACAGTGTTGTCCAGTATCAGAAGTACAAAAAGAAAAAGTAAAAGAAAGTCAAGATAAATGTCATTGACCGATTGTTCTGCAAGCAGACTCACTAATAAACAAGGAATATACTGACCAGGTAGAGAACCCTGTAGGAATGTCCAGTAAGTTTGGCCACTTGAGTGAGCGAGGGATACTTCCACACAAGGATCTGGTTCTGGGAATAACCATGTGTGCTCACCTGCAGAAAACAGCGTTTTCACATATTTACAAACACATTCAACAGTCACCTCAATTTAGCGGAGCGCTACTATAAATAGCGACTTTATTATGGAAAAATGACTCATACGATGCCAAACCTCAGGCGACTCACCAGCTCATTGGTGTGCTTGGACCAGGCCAGGTTGCAGACCTGAGAGCCGGTGTCGGTGCACTGTAACGGCTGGCCGGTCAGAGTGTTCCAGAAGCGGATGCAGCGGTCGGCGGTGCCGCCCCCGGAGGCCAGCAGGCCGTGCTGGTGGGGCGACCAGGCGATGGCTTTCACCGCGGCCAAGTGCTCCGTGTACTGCTGCACCGGGAGGACGCTCGAGTGGTTCCACACAAGTAACTAGGGACGGCAGGTTGAGACGAAAGGAGCAAGATTCCGTTTTATTACTAAAAGAAAAAAAGGCGGTCCTGACACTGACGCCTGGCTCGGAGACAGGTGAGACTCTCCGTCCACGAACCTTGTTGTCGTTTCCACCTGAGGCTAGCAGCTGGTGGTCCGTGCTCCACTTAAGCCCGCAGACCTCCTGTCTGTGCCCTTGGAGACGGCGCTCCGACTGGAGAGGCGGGGCCCTGATGTCCCGCTGGAGGATCACCCGATCACGGCTCCCAGACGACAGCTGGTCCGCATTCCATGCCAACGCACCTGGCAGGCAGGAATGAAACCGAGGGGAAGACGGTCCACCGACCGTGAATGAGCGATGTTGCTAAACAACTGTAACATGAATGAAGGTTGTAATATCTACTCTGACGGCTGTCCAGCTCCAGCCACTTAACTCACCCACTCGGGCTGTGTGTCCTTCTAGTACGGAGAGCTTCTTTCCTGCTGCTGCGTCCCAAATCTGTACATATCCTTTATGCGTTCCCACTGCCACCAGGTTGCCCTGGAAATAGACAGCGCACTTTGAATATCAGAAGGACCAAGAGTCAATAATGAGTATAAGAGTTTTTAGCAGAAAAAAACATGTCACGTCAATCTGAGTACCGCAGTCATCACCTCAGTGCTTGATTAGTAGAAATGTATAAAAGCATGCAGGTTTTACTACAAGCATACTTACTGGCTGATTTTTCTTTTTTAAATGTTGCCTAACAAAAGGGTAGAAGATAGAGGACAAGCTTACCCTCTCTGACCAGCCCACTGACGTTACAGAATCTCCTTCTACAGAAAGATCGCATAGACGCGTCACCTAAAAAGATGGTGAGGGAAAAAGAAAATTCGGATTCAAATGACATCAAGATGCAGTTTAATTAAATCCTAGAAATCGTTAAGTTAATTTGTGACACAATCAGCGAAACCTGTGATTGAGAGATCTGGTGTGATTGGAAACACTATTTGTGAGAACACACACACACACACCTACCTGGCTGGTACAGGCACTCCACAGGTAGACACAGGTACCCAGTCCCACACTGAGTACATTCAGAGAGGACCAGTCCACTAGGTTGAGGTAAAAGTCGTCCTGAAGCTCTGGAGCGTCCAAGACTTTAAAAGGTATCTTTGATATTTTGCGTGTAGGTTTTCTTGGCGACCGCAGCAGTTTCTGGCTACAGTGCAGAACAAAATTAAGTAAAAGAATACGATGCTGCTTTTCCAAAAATTTAAGAAATGACATGGAAAACATATTACCTGTTGCTACTGACAGGTGAGAGAGAATATGGAGAGACCGTGTTTCCATCTTCTTCTGGCAGAGCCCTCTTTGCACTTACGGAATACTGCAACGTACAAACGGACGGTTACTGAAATAAATCCCCATTAAACTAGTGCATTAAAAGTTGCAACCTATTATTACACTAAAAAGGCTTCTCTTGGCTGGAGTTGATGGCTGCAGACGGCGGTCTTCTGACTGGGGGTCCTGGACTTTCTCGATGCCCGCTCCTAACAGCTCGTTCTTCAGCAGAGCGGAGTAAGCCAGGCCGTCCGCTGGAGGCAGAGGAGGAGACAGGGGGGAAATCAAACCAGGCTGTCGCAACCATTAAGTTCAAACACTGCTCCCTCAGCATGTTTAGGGCCCTCTCTCCCATTTTCTACAAAGCTTTGTGTCTTCCTTATCTCCAATTTCTATGAGCCTGTGCAAGCTTAGTAAAAAAAAGACGGTCAAGTGATCAACTTTGACAGGGGCAAACGGAGGCACATGTAGGAATTAACTGAACTCACACCAGATAGTAATGGTCTTTTAGACGTAGGCACTCATATAATAACTTATAAATAAAGGCTGACCGACAATTAATCCAATCCAAGGATTTTTTTCAAACAAAAAGTAATTGCTTACAAATGAATTGTATTATTCTATCATTGGAAATATATATACTGTATATGTATAATTTCCTGACATTTAATAGAGCAAACCAGTAATGGGTGATGAAAATGTCCAATGATACTGAAGAGAGAAACATTGCATGATAATCTATTATTAAAAGGTTAACTAGTTTCTGCAGATATAAAGGTGGACTGATTACCTTTGTTGCTGTCGGTTGTGCCATCTTTCGTTTTTCTGTTTTGATTGTGCGACTTTTCAATTTCCTACATCAGAAAACAGAATATTAAGCATTGAAAGCAAATACAGACACGCAAAAAAAATAAATGGCACGGGAATAGGCTTTTTCCTTTGTAGGCAATAATAAACACTTTGCTCTTGAGAATACTGTTCTTTTGGTAGGAAAGACAGTGAAGAATTGGGTGTGTTACGACAGGGCTCACATTGATGCGGTGGAAGTTGACACTCCAGTTGGCTCCAGCCCGGGAGGGAATAAAGCGATCACCATGCTTGCTCGGCGAGGACAGGGGGGAGGTGGTGGGTGTCAGAGCCCGCACAGCTCCTACTGCTTTCTGCACAAGTTGGGTGAAAGGAGCAAACATTTTCTGACTGGAGGCCAAATGCAAACAGGCCTTGGACTGTGATGTGAAAACCTGTTCCAAGCAGGAAGATCAATTGGGTGGCAGATGGTGCATTTATCGGAGGTGTCAACAACAGGAGGCATCATTCACAAAACCCAGTCATTTTGCTGGCGAGGTCTTGTTTTCACTCAACAATAGTGATATCGTCAAAAAGAAAAAAAGAGACTGGTCCTTTAAAATGTCATACTTCCAAATACATGGAGAATAAGGCCATCTAGGTCCTTTGCTAGTTAATAATCCTCTTTGGGAGGCACCATCATCGTGCCATAGTGAAGGTAATGACCTACTAACTGTAGCGATACCAGCATAGACTTCAAAAAGGCTATTTGCGGTTCTTTTACTTCTTTTTTTTAAAGGAAACACAGCTCCTTTATGAACAAGTGAGTGTATGGTTTACTTACTATAGGGCTTGCATTCTCATTTTGAATGTTGATCTGCCTGAGCAGCCTGCATTCATAGTCCTGATCCATGGTTCTTGAAAACAGGTTAAAGCCGATCAACACATTTATAAAATCATCCACAAGTGTCCCAAATGCACGTATCAGATGACAGGATTTGCAATGGACACTGGTACTCTTTTAGCTATGACGTTCTATGACTTGCTCTCTACTGGTCAGTCCTGATACTGACAGCATGATCTATTCAGCTCTTAAGTGACTGTTGAGTCAAATATATCTTACCATGAAGGGTTTTCAACAAAGAAAGAAAGATTTTCCATTTTTAACAATGTGAAACCAAGAAAGGAGTATGTTCCTTATTTAAGAAGCATGAATATCCATTTAATTGTTTCAGCATTAAGCATGATAATTACATAGATCATTGAATAATAATAAACATACACATTTCATCGTAGTGTATCGTATAGAGACAACCTTGGATGGTTCATCAATATTTTTGTAATTAGATTTCTGTAGATCCAGACATCTGTTAATAAACTCAACAGCGGAATGTTATGATGGACTAAGCTATGTCTTTGGACCTGGAAAAATAAACGACTTTACTAAATTGACCACTGAAGACCGAGGATTACTCTGGTCTGAGGTTCCTCCGGCATCAACGTATTACAGCTAGAGAAAATAACAGCATTTAACCGCATGGTAATGTAAATGCATCCTTCAGGGACCCTTTCCTGGAGATGACATGATAAACAACTGTTCAGACCCACGTACCTGCATTTAAATCCTACTTAAACTAGCTAATGGGAAGCAAATCCGTTCGTATGCGGCAATGACAGTAGTTACAGTAGTTTAAAGTGATCAGCTGCTAGGCTGTCTAAAAGCATTAGCTAACGAAAATAACTTGAGTGAAGGTTTTTGCTAGATCGTTCCATGAAACGTCCCACTGCGGTGGTCATTGTTGGTCTGTGAACGTGACGCTAAAATTATTCAAAGACCAAATGATTCAGTCATTTAGCATTCAAGCTAGCTATGCTAACGCCAGCTCAGCTGGTCGACCTAACGTTAACGTAAAATAAGCTAGCTGGCTAATACATTAGCCACATTGTTTGCTCACAATCTACTCTTTTATTAACACCTACCGTGCCCGAATTAAATCCTCCCGTCACGCAACTTTTACGTGTTCTTATTTGTGGTATTAATTCTAGTGGAAATATCTTGTTTTATTTTGTTTTACTCTTTAAAACAGAGCATGCAAGATACAATTGTTTTCTTTTGCTGATCAATTTGGGTCCGCAAAGCATCACGGGAAGGATGTGACGTCGTGGTTTTTTGAATCACACATTTTGCGTTGCTAAGGAAACGTGTCAATGTCACGATGACTCATTTATCTTTGGCAGTTAACCTTTACGTCCTGTTTTTTCTGTCCGAGATAGTTGTTTCGTTTCAACAAGTTACAGTACAACAATAAGTTAATTCATTTGACAAAAATAAAGCGTTCAGGGGCCATTGTGTAACTTCCTCATTGAAGGTGACAATTTGTCCAATGATCTCGGACTCAGGTTAAGGCACCATTGCAAGCCGTTGAACGGAATCGTTATACTGACTTATTCACAAACATTTTACTATTGATTGATTGAATTGTAGTCAACAGACGAAAAACCACATTTGTAGTAGATTTTAAATGGCTTTATTTGTTAAAAAGGGATAGAAGTGAAACATATGCAATCTCACATGAAGTAAAAACAGACTAAAGTCATTTAGTGTGCAAAAGCTTAAAATAGACACATTCATATCACATCCTGCTAGTGAAATGAGGCTGTGAGCACAATTTCATCTCAACACTACCTGCTGCTACACTGACAAAAACAGTTGACAGTGAGATATTCAAAAACCACGTCAAGAGTATGGTCCAATAGCTAATCTGATTCAAAGTGCCAAAGAAAAGAAGCAGTATGTTCAAGTAAATTATTGACCCCCACCTAGGATTATGTGCAAAAGTAAAGTTTTTAAAACTAAATAGCTGAAAATGGGCTAGATGATAAATATATATTGGGATAACCAAAAACTTTAAAAAAAACTTTCCAGTAAAACTGGAGTAAGATGTATGGCTCAGTAGCCCATGTAGTTCAAATACTGCTTATGTTTTTTCTGAATTGGGCAGTAATCACAAGCTTCTTTGAACAGCATAGATTTACTTGATGAATATTATTCACATGTCCGGAATCGATTCTTGCTAAACTCAGTCGTGCTCATATTACAAAGAGTCCAGAAAGAAACAGCCTCGTCTCTACAGCATAATTACAATCACACGCTCACAAATCACATTGTCACACAGACTACAGTGTGTAAACCGGTCAACTGAGTAACCAAGACAAGGTCAAAAAACAAAACAGTAAATGACAAGAAAAGAATCCCCTAAAAACGAAAATAATAAAAGTTCAACGGTCCTGTGTTCCCTGTAATGATGGACAATCATCACCTCAGTACTTTGCATGGCTGCACATGCTGTTCAATAACATGTGCCACACTAAATACATTCAGACCAGTGGAGTTATAAGAAACATTGTGTGCTCATAGTAATGCCGTGGTTTTTAAAACCAGTGAGGAGAGAGGGGTGGAATGCCAGGGCGCACAAAAATGAAAGAAAATGTACATCTGACCACAGGTTTGTGGTCTACAGGGAGGACGTGTCCCTAGACACAAGTTGCAGGCCATTGTTGACCTGGAAGCGAGTTTCGTCTGAAATACCGTACTGCTCCAACGGGTCCTGAGGGGAAAGGAGAAGATGAGTCAGGTCTGTAATAAAACCAAAGCTTAGAGCATTTAAAGCAAATCCATACCTGGTATTGAATCAAACCGTATATTAAATGCATAAATACAGACTTCTGCCTTCTACACAATAGAGATTAGGTGAGTGAAATTCAATTAGTTGCTCTTACAAACATTTACATTTGAGGTTTCTGGTTCATCCTGAGTGGTCACGAGAAATATTGCTTTTGCAACAGCAACACCGTGTTAAATAAAACATAAACTTCGTAGTCTTCTGACAGCGACCGATACATTGATCCTGTGTAGAGGATACAGTTACGGCACAAAAACACTTCCACGCGTAACGCCTTTCTAGTACCACACTCTCTGATGAACCGTACCTTGCCAGTGAGCCTGTGGATTTCAGTGCGATAAAATATCAGGTTCTTCCTCATGAACTCGTAACTGCAAGAGATGAGAGGAGAAATAATTTGAGATTGGTGGGGGGGGGGGCAACTATCCCGTTTGGGTACATTATCCCATTCAGAGTAAACAAAAAAAAACAATTATACAGTGTTGATGAATTCTTTGAAAACTGTCCAACTCGTCCCATTTTGGACAATGAGTCCCTTTTGACAGTTTCCCCCATGTGAGTTTATTACTGGAGGCTAAAACACAATTTGGTTTAAGTTGTTCTACCACATCTTTCAAGTAGCATTTTGTTTGAAAACTGCAATACCGTCATGTCATAGTCAGCAGAGCTCTTAAGATGGCAGAATGTCTGCACCCTCTTGCAATGATAACTGTGTACGTCATGTCAGCAAATAGAAGAGCTCTGCGTTTAGAATCTCTAGATGACGTTCTGGTGACTTGTGGTGCAAAACTAGGAGAAAAGTAAGAAAGAAACAACAAAGAACATGATGGCCCGGCACTCGGATTTGCACCAAGACCCCCCTGTTTCATTATGTTATCCTACAACTACATATTCCCGCTCCGAAGGTGAAGACCTTTGAATAGTCTTGACGCATGACTTTCATGTGTCAACTCTGTCTCCTGTTTGCAAACATTATTTACACAAGCGTCGAGTGAGAATGAGGTTTCATTGCACATGGATCCTACACCTGCCGACCTGGTTGTTGCTGCAGATATGTGACCAGTTGTTATAAACGATGGTAGTACTGGTGTTACACAGTACTGCTGTTTGCTCTAGTATCACACAGTATTGATGCCTAACTATATAATGGTAGGGGGTAACACTGAAGTTCATCCAAAATAACCATAGTTTTGTAGATACGTTGGATAAACACAGACATACTGTCATTTGTTGTTGTTTCTTTTGATTACTTAATGAGTCATATGCCACACGAATAACTGTTTAGTGTCAACATTTGAAAGGAAATCCGTAAATAAATGTCATATTGTATTCCTAGATTACACCAAGCATGTGCATATGATTGTGGTGCGTGTGGTCGGTCCCACCTGGCCTTGATAATGGAGTCCACCCACTCCCCACACTGCTCCCCCGAGTCACACTCAAAGAGATACTTCCTCTCTGCTTCATCCAGAAATGCTACAACAACAACAACAACAACACACAGAAATGCACATCAGAAGATGCTGTTCGGGGACATATCAACAATGCATTTTTTAATAGCATCAGCTCAAACGTGAATGCAGTCATTTACAGTAACATAAGAGGATTTGAATCCAGTCAACAAGGGAGAAAGTGAAGCGAACTCACCGATGGAGAAGGACCGACTGTCCTCCCTCTCCACCCGACACTGCTCCAGCAGCAGCGCCCCGATCGGCTGGCGAACAAAAAGTGGCGTCGACTTTTAACGTCCATAACAATACATGGCATCACTCTTTTACACGGAACAGATACGGCTGAATGACACACGGCGGCAACTGACCTCTTCCTCGTCAGTTCTGAAATAGAAGAGGAAGTTAACGACGAGTTTCACCAGCCTCCTCTTCACAACTGCGCAATGACAAAAAAGGGAATGAAAGTTGAGTTCAGGTGAACTGGGAACATCTGTGACGCTCGCTGGTCCCGCCGCTCAACGCCGCGCGAGACGGAAGCGATTCGTATAAACGTTCCGCGATAAACCGCGTTACCGTCTCCTTTCTTGGGTCCTCGCATCCCCAGCTCGGCCGCCATCTCCGAGGGCTGGCGGCTCAGGGACGCCAGCTCCTTCTCGTTGAATCGCATCCCGACGGCCGCTGGCGCATTAAAAACGGGGTGACTGTTGAAGGGTATTCTTCACGGCGCAGCCATTCCCGCCGACAGCGCGATAATAGCGTGAGATCGGCAACAGCGAGCGGTGACGTCGTGTCAGTGACGTCGGTTGAACGTTGCGGTTTCTCTTTCTGTGTTTGCGGAATTTGACTGGATGAGTTTAGTCATTTTTCTGCCTCAGGCTGAATTAGCGGCGACGGACTTCTCCCGGACACACAGCGGACACACGCCCTCCTCGCGGGTGGTGGTGGCGCACCTCTGTAATGCTAACTTACGGTAGGCAGCGAGGGTCAAACTACGCGAAATGCGCCTTCGCGAACAGCAGCACGCGTACACGAAGCCGCTGGTCGCCGTGACGCTATAAAACGTCGTGTTTGCTGTCATGACATTATATGTGTGTTTGTATGTATTATTAATTGAGTGTGGATTTACTGTAGAATCGTAACTGAATTCAAGCAACAGAGAAACGACAACGTCAGATATAAAAGAGGGAATTGTGTTAAGAAACGCTTCTTATGCAGGGTATTTATGTAACGTTATGTTTACAATACAGTGTTGGAAGTTGAAGAGACAAGTCGGAGAAGTCGGAGAAGATATGACTGGAGAGCAAAGAAGAATGAGTGAAGAGTAGAACATGTGAGGCTAATCAGAACTCCTTACTATTTAGGTTGTAGAACTGTTACAGTCTATCTGAGAACCAGATATTTACAAAAAAACTTGTGCATGGGTGAAACAATTGTCTTAGATACAGTAAGAGGCTTTATGCGGCTTCATTTAGTCATTCTCATTTCTATTTATGAGGAACTGTGAGTCCAGGCGGCCCTCGCTCCGGTCCAGGAGGTGGCGGTGACGCACCGGAAGGGTTCTTCCAACCGCCAAGTGGCTGAGAAGGAGCTTCTCGCACATGCGCAGTACAAACCTACAGTGGCACGATCTTAACGTTGTTGTGTCGGTGAGTGTTTTCATCAAATCTAACTTTTCTTTATTATTTAATTTATAGCTATCGTTCAGACGTGTAATTAACCATTATCTATTAGCAAATCTCCGTTGCTATATATGTTTATTTTGTCGTTTGACCATTCACATTTCTTATAAAACACCCACAATTAGCAGCTAACACCGTTAGCTTAGCCTAAGCCGTGTCGTGTTGTATTGAGGAGCCAGCGTATTTTAACATACTGTAGCTCACTAAAGTTTGTAAAGAAACCCCCTCTCCCTTAACTCGTATAACTAGATTGTGTCTAATTGAAAATGGAATAACTGGCTACACGACTATGCTGTTTCTTCTTTATAAAATTCCCAGTTGTTAGACGGATCCATTAATGGGGAAGCCCATGTAAACTAACTAATCTAAGCCAAGACGGATCTGAGGAGTGATTGTATTGTGAAAAATGTGATCGGTTGTCAGCATAAATGGTGCACTTAATGTATTTATTCTGCTTCTCAAACGGTGTGCAGACACATACAATATAAACTTCAGGTTCCAAATCCAAATCACATTATTGTCATTGTTGAGCAGTTAAGTAGATTACCAATACAGAGTTATGTCTGCGGGCGCATTAAGTTTACTCATAAATAACTCCACAAATGGTACTGTGTTTGACAACAATCCAGTAGATAGTAGCTTAAATGTTATTATCTAGTTACATTCTTTGCAACAATGTGTGCTTTCTTTTTCAGATAATAAGGAAGGATTTACTTGGGATACCTGTCCACTGCTGACTGGGCAACAACCGGGTGTGTGTGTGTGTGTGAGCTCAACTCGTTGCAAAGATGGATTTCCAGCATCGAGCTGGAGGAAAGACGGGGAGCGGTGGAGTGGCATCCTCCTCTGAGAGTAACCGTGATAGGCGAGAACGGTTACGTCAGCTGGCGCTGGAGACAATTGACATCAACAAAGACCCCTACTTTATGAAAAATCATTTAGGATCATACGAGTGCAAACTTTGCTTGACACTTCATAACAATGAGGTACGGAGGCACACACTGACACCGACCCATCTTATATAATCAGAACCTGGTGTTAATTCTTGTTTTCTGAGTATCCTGTTTGACAAACTCCTCTCCTCTGCATTACAGGGCAGCTACTTGGCTCACACACAAGGAAAAAAACATCAGACCAACTTGTAAGTGCAATGTTTTAATTGTATGTGTTGTCCTCTATTGGACTGATTCTTTCAACTTCAGCTTACCATGACTGATAAACCTCTTAAAACCCAGGTGCACATCCCGTTGTGGGCTTGTATAGGGTTGTTAGCTTTTTCACGGTTGCTGTGAATTGACAATGCAACACACATTTGATACAGTGAGTTGATCACCTAATAAAAAATAAATATTTTGTTTTTGTTCAGAGCGCGGAGAGCAGCCAAAGAGGCAAAAGAAGCACCTGCCCAGCCGGCTCCAGCAAAAGTAAAAGTTGAGGTCAAGAAGTTTGTTAAAATTGGCCGACCAGGATACAAAGGTACAGTGGCAGTCTGGTCATGAGTCCGTAAAGTCTTTATTTACTTCATGCTGATTGAGGTTTCACTCCAAATGTATTGCATTTTAATAAATGGCCCTGGTCTTCTTCTTCCTTGCAGTAACTAAACAGAGGGATCCAGAGACTGGACAGCAGTCCTTACTTTTCCAGGTTAGTGTGTTTGTAAAATCTCCTTGAGTTATATTATGATTTTCTACAAAACTCCTAAATGGAGTAAATCAACATTCAAGCTCCCTTTCTAAGATGCATGCTTTAAAGTGATTCAGTTAGCTTCAATAGTCAACCTTTTCAGGCTTCAGTGTAGTGATTTCTGAATTAACTGTAAATATATATTTTCCAGCTTCTAAATGCCCCATAGTATTCTCATCATTGTAATCTTTTTTTTTTTGTTTATTAGAGAGGACAAACATCTCGCGACATTTTGTTTTAAAATGTTTTAATCTGCCGGCTCTTATTTGATCAAGCATCCAAAACCCACCTTCTCCTTTCATCAGATCGACTATCCAGAGATCGCTGAAGGAATCGGACCCCGGCATCGCTTCATGTCCGCTTACGAACAGCGCATCGAGCCCCCCGATCGCCGCTGGCAGTACCTGCTTCTGGCTGCTGAACCTTATGAGACTATTGCCTTTAAGGTGAGCGGAAGCTGCACTTATACTGTTCTCCAATAACATTTTTTATTCCTGCCTCGACATAACGACTCTGCTTTTTTAGGTCCCGAGTAGAGAAATTGATAAGGCAGAAAACCGCTTCTGGACCCACTGGAACAGGGAAACTAAACAGGTACAAGCTGATTCCTATTTGTCACCACGAAGCCCACCTGGCATTTAACGAGAGGAATGTAAAAACATGTGGTTTAACTGATCTTTCGTGTTGTTTTTCCCACCCAGTTTTTCCTACAGTTTCACTTTAAAATGGAGAAAGCTGTTCCCCAGTCCAGTGGACCCCCACCTCCTGCAGGTGTGAAGCGCCCCCCTCCTCTCATGAGTGGAGTTGGACATCGGCCAAATGAGTCCATGCCGCCTCCCCCGCCAGGAGGGATGCCCCCTCTCCCACCTGGCGCTCCGGGAACCCCCCACATGCCTCCTCAGATGCCCATGCCTCCCATGCCAATGAGGCCCCCTCCTCCTGAGGGCCTTATGTCTAATAATTGATCCCCTCCCAGTGAATCATGATTGCTTTCTGTCCGTGTTTTTAATGATGTCTAAAGTCTACTAGATTTTTATACATTCATTTGGTTTGTGTGAGCGTGTAGGGAAGCCTATGCGACCACAGCGTTTTGTATGAATGCTTTGTTTCTGGATTGGAGCTATGATTTCAAAATGGCAAAATCATTTAGGATTCTGTTTTTGTAATAAAATTCTGTTGAAAAAAAGCATTTGCCTCCTTCAATCTGTTTTTTACAAAGGCGTCACACAGAAACCTGAACAGATCCCGTGTTTGTCAATGAGTCATAGCATCAGAGAAGAGCAGCATTGCAGAGGTTACTGAAATATCTAAATCAGGATTGGAATAGAATAAAAGCTTTACTTTACTCGGGAGAAGACGTTTAACATTTAACTCTCAGAGGGAACAGGCCGGGTTAAACTAGTCATAAGCAAACAAACAATCTTTAATTTGCCATATTCAATACCTTCTGATTACAAAATACAGACTGCTAACTTTTACAATGATTTGGGTCTTTCAAAACTCACTGGAATCGAGCGATGTCATGGAGGGTTGAGAGTAAGCCGCCGGCAGATACAATGAAATGGAAATGCAAATGTCTTTACAGGTGTTTCATTACACAGAAGCACATCTGTTAGGCAAAGCAGCAACATTACTTTGAGTCTCACTGGTGATTATTATTGCATTCAACATTACCACCTTCATAAATGTTATCAAATCAATTCTAGTGAAAGTGGTTTAGAAAAGGTAATGCAACATTTTTAGAGTACAAAGAATCCGCTCATGCCTTTTGAGTTTTTCTCTTCTCTTTCTTTCCATCCAGCCTTTGACTCCCTGACTCTTCCTCCGGCTCTCCGTCATCCTCATCTTCCTCCCCTGGGCCCGCTTCAGGTTCCTTCTTCTTGTTTCTGTACGTCTTGTCTTTGATTTCTTTTTTGGCTCTCCCTTCCTTAAATGTTCCTTCTCTTCGTTTGATGGATTTTCTGTCCGGGGGTGGCTTATTTCGGAGACCTCTTGATGCTCGTGCTGTCGCTCCTCTCTTTGACTTTTTCACTTTGCCTCCTCCCTCATCGGCGTCATCGTCCTCCTCGTCCTCTTCATCGTCGAGGTCTGGTAGCCACTGTGACATGACCTCCCACAGTGTGGTCTCGGGCTGAGGGCGAGAACACATGACGCGGCTGACACGTTAGGATCGGTGGTACATGTACACCGGTTTGTCTTCATGTCAGTAAATGAACGTGTCAGATAGGTGAATCCAGGTCATTTGCTTCACTGCATTTACCTCTGGTGGTGGTCTACTGTGTCGTAGTCTGCCGGTCCGTCTCACTGTCAGTCCAACGTCTTCCTCCTCTGCTGCCCTCTGACCACGCAGGCTTTCTGTTTTTTTTAAAGGAGACCGTTTAGTCAAGGTAGCCACGTCATTTAGTAACTGTGGTTGTACTTTTAGTTGACTTGCCATGAAGCTTCTGAAAGCCTGAGGTCACCACCAGGATGGAGATGGCCACAAACAGACAGCGGTTGAGGGTGACGTTCTCCCAGGGCGTTTCAATCTGGGTCAAGTTCTGGATGGACGAAGCTTTACGTAAGGCTGCCGAAGGAGAGGAAGAGGAGGAGACGCTGTCATTGTGATCCAGTAAAGTTAACCGGGGGTGGTTGTTACTCACTTGTTCGGGGGAGGCTCGGCTCCCTGAGTAAAATCTTGGGTTCCGCTCTAACTGGTTGTGAAAACGTAGGAATTTCCTGTTGAACACAACAACAATATGATGTATTCTGGATGCGAACATTGAGAAGAAAAGTTAATTTGGTTCATTCCAACTAACCTCTTTGAATTTTCTTGTAGTGCTCATTTCTGAAACAGACAGACGGAGATGTACCGAGGGGATAAACCACAACGAACCGCCATTCCTTCACACTTATTCATGTTAATTTCATTTCTTGTCGTTCTTTACTTAGTATTCCTCGTCTGGAGACCTTGAGAGACTTTACAAAATGATTTCAGTCCGGACCAAAGCGCAAAACAGCCTCACAAGCAGGACTTTGTCTTTATTTGTAGAGAGCGAGGCTCACACCCGCCCCCCATTCAGCATTATCCCTGCGTTGCCTTTGACAAGGGGTCCAATTTCAGTCGCTCTCTGCGCTGCTGTTTTTATTTATAGAGTCGTACAATATATGTACCAAGGCTTTTATGTGCAGGCATCACAGATACTGTGTATATATGTACAGTATGTGTGTGTGTGTTTGTGTGTTCGTCGCCACCTGTTCTGAGGATCTGTGGAACAGGCTTCTGTGGAGGAGGTACTGCTCTTGGTGGCCTTAACTCCTCTTCAAATGTCTCATAGCTCTCTTCCATCCCTTCCCTGAGAGAACGACAGGGAAGAAGATGGATGTGGCTCAAAACTGAGTTTGTTTAGAAATGAGTCTGAGGATTCCGACGTGTGCATTTTACTCAACGCTTGTGTGTCACATGCAAGTGAGCCTGACTAGTCAGAGGTCAACCCATCCTACCGATTTTTGTAATTCTTTATAAATGCTCTATTTGTGGCTGCTGTTACATCCCCAAAACTAGACGGAGATGTCAATCCTTCACTTTGTAAAATCTATTTTCCATTTTCTCATCGGCTCGTGTCTTACATGACATTTGTACCCGGACATTGAGCTAAAGTCCTAGCAGGCCTATAAATAGATGAAGCCGGGCCACCGGAGGGACAAAGTGATAATAGAATAGAAAGAATATACGGGCAGATGTTACCATTACTCCAGTGGTTAGCATTGCCCCGCGAGGAAGTCTAACCTTTGGCCCCGATTGAAATAAGGACCTACCTGTCACGACATTTGGGGTCGACCCCGGGCAGCGGCGGCGTCCAACCTTTGTCACAGAGCCTGTTGTTTCTCGGTAGAGATGGCAGCAGTCAGGCTCTGTGCTGCGTGACAGCCAAGAACAGGTGTGGGAGAATGAAAAAACAAAAAGAATTGTCAGTCAGTTCACATTGACATGTGCCGTGCGGCTGTCGAATCCCAAAAGGGGGCCGAGGATCGCAGAGAAAAAGCCAAACCGGATACCACATATGGGAAGAATCTTATAAAAATTGTATTCGGTTTCAACCCCACAGATTTACAGCAACAACAATGAGAGAAACATTTTTTTTTTCCTCATGAAGTCTCCAGCAGATGGCGGCCCTGTACTTGCGAGTTTCAAGCGGCTTTGCTCCTTGAATGAAGTCTGTAGAACGTCCGACTAGCTGACTCTCAGATTAGCAGCAGGACTGACTCACGTCTAATGAGCCCACCATCAAACATGTGGCCATCTGTCCGTCAAGTTATAATCTCATTATAATCGCTATGTTTCCTTCGGACAGTGTTGCATACGTGTGTGTGTGTGTGAGAGCGATGGAGGCCACTAACGGGCCACAGAGCAAACACATGATGATGAGCTTCTCTCGGGATGAGGTGGTTACAGGCCTGCTTCGTGTGGGAGGAGAGAGGAAGTGTCGATAAACACACTTGTGTCTATGTTGATGACTCATGCCTCCGTTGGGATACATTGCAGCTGAGTCACGCAGCGATACACCCATCAGCAATCACTGTGAAGTGGATTGAAGCTGTGTAACCTTTCGCCGTGGGAAGACCGTCCAAGGAAATGGTCTCAAACAGGACCCCGAGCAGCATCTCAGGACGGTGTGTCCCAAAACTGACACTACCAATCTCTGTCAGTTGTGGTGCTTTTAAATAAATCTTAAATTGGGTGGCTCAATATTTCAGCAACTATTAAATACATTGCCATGAGGTTTTGTTCCCCTGAAAAAACACGTATTGATTGATAACTAATGGTGACAACTGGTGATGCTCTCAATTATGATCAATCAAGTAAAGATTTTCATTCGTCCAATGCTTGGGTTTATGTTCCAGTGAGGGGCAAACGCTGTGCTTTGTGTTTACTGCTCATTAGCAAAGATTAGCTTGCTAACACAACAAAGTAAAATGGCGACGGTGGAGGAAATCAGCGTGTGAGCATTGCGAGCATCCAGTCCAAACAGTGGTGAGAGTTGTAGGCATTCATCCTATGTGTTGATTGAAATATTTACTGTAAATGGATAAACATATGGACATATCCCCATTAAAACAAAGTATACATTACGACCGGCTTCCAAAATACAATATTTCATCCAGTTCCATTTCAGCTCATCAATTCGTGGGGGTTTATCTCCTTTTACAGCAAAATAGACGTTTTTTATTTATTATTTATAATTATTTTGTTTTATTTTGTTAATCGCTGGCAGCGCTGTCAAGGCCATTAGCAGAAAGCTGTGAAGGTAATCCCTAAACTATTAATTTGGAATGTGCTACCTTCATATTCATATTTCTCCTGTAGATTCCTTTTTGTAGGCAACAAAACAATGTGCTGTGCACCCCTCAGCTGAATTTAATCTGTTCATTTAGTTTGTTTAAAACAAAGAGTACAATATGCTGTGGGCTCCTGAATAACAGTATACAGAACACACACTGCAAATTTTAGCGGCGTGATGGATTCATTTAGTGTTGTTCTCGCCTATAATGAGCTTGTCTGCAGACTTAATTGACCAAATGCACACTCTCACCCCGCTGATTTGTCGCTGCTTACGTTGAGATTCCAAGGACACGGCGTCATTACCAGTCACAGTGCATCATCCGAGGGAACAGGAAACAATATACGGAGCCTAGCGATTTCCTCCTTAATGTCAACAAGTGATCTGAGCTCTTTCTCATTCTCAGTGTCGAGGTAAGAAGTGAAAGAAAGTGAAACGGCCAAATCTGGACCAACGCATTAAAGAATGTTTGGAGGGCAATAGAAGCCCCGTGTGGACACGCTGTGTCCAATAATGAGAGCAAACATTGCTTGCGGACATCTACATTCCCAATTATGTCAGAGGAGAGATGCAGCTGGGTAAAGCCTTTGGCTCCCTTTGGTGTCCTCCAAGGACACATTGACCGTCCAAGGCTCAGTGGGCGCTGCCCTATGTCCTCACACACACTGAGGAGCACAGTGGAGCGTGAAACAACATTAACTGTGTTGCCTGTTTTAAACTTACAGGCTTAAACGACTCGTGGGGACGTGCGTTGGATTGAAATGCACTTTATGTCAGATTGGGTGCATTTCGTGTGCCTCTAAGCGTCTCTCAACGGGGCGACGGCTCCAGTGTTCAGGTAGACATTACTCCACTGTATCGTTACACAGAGCAGGTGTTTGCTCCTCTGTTTAACGCTCTGTGCACCATACGTTGCTCCTTTGTGTTTTGAAGTCAATGTAAAGGAAGAGCTGAGGTCTTTATGAATGTAAAGCCTGACAGATGATGTTTCCAGAGGTGTAAACAGACCTAATACCTCAGTAGGGTTGAGAAGGTATTTACACTTTTCTCTTAAGCTCACTTTTTGTATTCTTCACTCAGGTATTCTGCCTCTGTTCACGTGTACAGTTCAACACCGTGAAAGCTTGTTTTCTGAGAACCTCAGTTCTCAAAATAAGATACGACATTTGTTGTTGTCAACTACATAACGATGTAAAAACAATATGCACTTGAGTTCAGTCTTGAGCTTTGCGTAGGTTGCATGAAATCAAAATGCAAGGTCTACAAAGCCTTTTTCAGAGACGTTGGCCACATCAAGGTCTCAATCAACAGATCGTTGTTAGTTAGAATTTCATTTTTATATGTATAAGTATATTGACATTAAAGTACCGTTATTGTTTCATTCATATTTCTTGTGGCATCTTAATGATCAGCATTCAGAGACTTGCATATTGCACCTTTCTATTTGAAAGAGACTTAACTTGAACTTGTCCTAAAGAATTTGACACATGTTCTTGACTTGGATTTTTTTTTTAAAAGCCATGTGATCATTAACGCTGTAGATGAAGTGGGGATAAATTATAATTGGAATGGCAATGTGGATAAAGACACCTTTGGAGTGAAGACAAGAATTAGATAACTGTTCGCTTTAGCAAAGCAACCTTTTTGCAGCGGCAAAGGTTGCTAACGCAGCAGTAAACTTTATAATGTAACATAACCCATATGTCATTTTTATTTCTCATATAACTTTAGGTTTCTCTTATTTTAATTGGTGTTTATTTTGTCAGTTGTATTGCTTGAATTGTCCGAGCAGCACAGTTAGCAGCATAAGTAGTAAGACACCCTCCATGTCAGATAGTGTAAAACCTCTATCTGACGGGCACTGACACTGGATCCACAAAGATTCCCATCGTATGTCTCACCGCTCTTTGCCTTTCACTCTGAATCTCAAAGCAAAGTCTTCCGTCTGCCGTCTTGGTGTCACTCAGGGACCCGTGAGTGTCCAGAGGGGAGCGCTCTGCCCCGTGTTCTCAGGCAGATGAATGTCCAAATGTCCAAACAATGTGATAAAGTGTCCCTCATTACCCCGTCCTTAGAGCGGAAGCAGCGTCCTGAGAGAGGAATCATCGGTGCGAGGGGGGATCCAATTAATGGTGTTTAATCGTCAACCTCAAGTCCAACTTTATAAAGCCTACTGTATATTTAAGGTGTTATGATAACTTCTTGTTCGCCCACCACCACATTGTCTTACCTTCCATCTCCCCCTTTTAAAACCCATTTAACATGTATTTTGTGATTATTTCTCCGGGGAGGCATGATTGAGTGTCTCTTTATTAAGAAATGAACCACTTCCCTCTCACACATGAGAGTTGCTCGGACCCTTATATGTAACTCTCACCCTCTGCCTCCCCCACTCGATGTCTCTCATTGTGTCTACGGGCCATTTTATTGATGGGGTAATTTGCCCTAAGACTGTGTTGCGGCCTCCTGTGTGCTATGCGTATTAATTACCCTCCATTCATCTGCCGCTGTTCAGCCTTTCAACGGGCTCCAGAGCAGCGCTTACAGGCCAAAGCGTCACAGCTTCAATGCTCCAGTAGATGCACAAGTGTCTGCGGGAGACGAGTAACTGCTGAATTATTGCAGTTTGACAGTGACCACTAGAGTCTGGAAAGCTTTGATCACATGATGCCACAGATTATGAAATGCTTTTTGTCTTTATTGATAGTTTCGTGTTAGTTGTCAGCACGTAGGACTGCAGAGTCAATAACTGGTGTCTTAAACTGAGCAGGAAACAGATGAATTCATTTCTACACAGTGAGAGGTCAGACAAAGAAGACGAGGGATTTTATTTTGTCTTTGGGGACTATTTTTACTTCACTGACACCACACGTGTCTTAGTTACATGTACACAAGACGTTTATATTTTACATTATATTATATTATTACATTATATATATTATATTATATATATTTAATGCGAAAACTTTTTCCCTCCTGTCCTCCCTGACATTCAGAACTCTGTTTTTCACATAAGGACGTCTGACAGCAGCGCATTTGTCTTGTAAGAATGAAGTTTCCTCTCATTCTTACATGGTGGCTGTCAGGAGGTATGACTTCTGCATGACAACATCCTAAACTGTGAAGAGCAGGTTGTGTATAATGTTTGTCCTTTAAAACATCATCCTCTAATAAAGATGGGGATGATAGAGAGAAACATGAGAAGGCTTTGGAGACAAGAATCAGTTCTGTTATAGCAGGATTCTCACCACCGTCACTCGGCTGATTTTGAAACCAACATTGCTACCATTTTCTTTAATCTTCTGGAAATATTACAGCCTCTGCCCCCTCAATGCCTCTTTTCCTCCGTCGTGTTTGTGTGCTCGCTGCCTTTCAGCCAGCCCATGGTAGTCAACTGATTGCAGATAATTACAGCTATTTGACTGCAGCTTTCACAGCCAGTCCTTTCTGGAGGCACTTACAGAGCGAGAGCATGCCAAGCGGGGCCCTTCACTGCCTCGGCAGATAACTACAGACACAATGGGACAGAAACAAAATCATAGATCTAACCAAAAAATCAATCACCAGCTCAAGCTTGCATTAGCAAAGATGCAATCTTAATGTATTTTTTTCAAAACATTGAGGGCCCCAACTTAGTTACGTAGAAAGACAATTCCCCTTTCTTCATGCACTTTTCTTTTAAAGAAATGTAGCAACCAACATCTGCACACAGACTAAATGTGAGCAGACATTAATTGGTGGCGGCCTCAGTGGAAAATTGAGTTCTTTCTGCAGCGTGGTTTTGCAGACACTGGTCTGTCCTCTCATATATTATGGAGCTAATCCTGATTAGAAGGAATGTAATTGTTCTGGAGCTGTCGTACATGCCTCTCAGCTCAGTGCTATATCCAGAACAGTAGGAATGACTCAGGCTCTTT